CTGATCGATGGATGCAATCAAATCGTCATTGCTGATCTGCTTCCTCGGGTAGCGGGGGAGTGGGTGGCGAATTGTTGATGAAGACGACCTCGGAGGCAGCTCCAAGATTGGATCTGCAGTCGCAGGTGTTGGGGTGGTCGGTGCAGAATCGATCTGTACCAGCTCGATGATCTCTCCATCTCCGTCAGCGTTGATGATCCAGGAGATCGATCCGACCGTAAAGATCTAGCCGGGCTGTGGGAAGGATGAAGAGCCTGCAAAATGTACCATATTATTCGACATGGAAACAACACACACCCCTACCTGGCGCGCCAACTGTCGACATAATATCATCGGCAGTCCTCCGAGGGGTATCCCACAAAGGTAGATTGATCGGCAGAGATGCGTGTAATCGAGAACAAGGCAATAGAGACACAAGAGTTAGACAGGTTTGGGCCATCAGCGCGACGTAATACCCTACTCCTATGGTCTGTTGGATTGTGTTGGCTATCATATGATATTGCGTGTGTTTTGAGGGGTTCCCTGTCTGCCTTATATAGTCTGGGGGGCAGGGTTACAAGTCGGTTAGATCTAGGAGATAACTGAAAAGTAATAACAGATTACATGAATCATAGGATCGAACGTATCCTAACAGATCTCGTAGTATATTCAGGATATCGCCCTTGATGTCTTGCGGTGCATGCTGAGCAGTGCCGTGCATCGTAGGTCTTTGTCTTGTGGGCTGGACCGCCCCTGGGAGCACATCCCATGTAGTTTGCCGTTGGTATCCGGGGTCGTACCCCCCACCCCCTCTTAGACACCGTGGTCCCTTACACCGCTGAAGTAGTTCAAGCGAACAGGGCCCCAACAGTCATCACGCGAGGCACTGCTACCAATGCGGCGGCGTGGAGTCCAACACAAATTGAATTATCCTATTTCATTTGTCCAACAAAATCCAACACATTTGGATGCAAAGCTAATGGATGTCCATATTATCCAACTAAATCCAAATCCAATGGAGTCCAGGTGTCAAAGTCCAATTAGATCTAGAATCCATGCCTGTGTTTCTCTGTGCACCGTCCCTCGTGGTATGTGATGAGTCGTCGACAATATCCCCACACCACGCCCTTGACACGGCCCATACGACCCACGAGCTAAATTCTTGGCTTATTATTATCGAGCCCACGATCGTTGTTTCGAATTTTATTTTTTCTGCAGCAACACATTCAAGTTGGGCTGCGTCGTTGTAGCGGCACAACCAATTCCTGATTTGGCCCAGTGGCTTGGACCTTGGAGTACAATTTTCTCTTCTCAATAATTAAAAAAAGAGAGTGGTACATGTAGGAACATATTGCTTGTTGAGTGTGGACTTGTTCCACTAAGCTAGATAGAGAGTTACATCCATTTTCAACGGCAGTATTCTAGTCTTCTAATCACCAGAGACAAAGTGAAAGCAAAATTTATGGCTAAATAAAGTAAAACTAGAGTTTGAAGATAAAAAATAGATGCATTTTTTATTCAATTGGATACCCTTAATTGGCAATGGCACTTCTTGGTCTTTCTTTGTATAAATTAAATACACCTTCAAATCTTGCAAAATCCTAAATTCCCCTCGAATTCAGGTTTTGGCAATCCATGTCATCCTGTTTCAACGAGTTTATCAATTATGGCCTTTTTTAACGAATCAGGTAGAAGAACTTTCAATTATATTAAAAAGAAGAAATACCCAGAGTTGGTAATATAATGGAGCAACGAAACTCAAAAGGGTCGCATAAACCTAAATTAACAACTAAAGACAACTATCTCAATTATCAACAATGGCCGATTAGACTGGGACCTTAACATGCGCCGCACAACATAGTTGCACTAGCTTCTCCAATCGAGCAAAGCAACAAGATAGTTGTACAAACACTACCACACCACAAGTAACACACCCCTGATCACCACGATGCATCAACATCACTTGACAACGAAGCAACAAGTCAACACATCATTGTCACTGCTTGCGCTATCATTGCCCACCACAGCTATGTAGAGCTAAGCACTGTGATCCGTCGCAAGCCAGGTAGCCATTGTGTTATCGGCTCTGCTTGCGCCGCATGTGGACGTTGTCATGCACTGGACTAACAATTTCCAAGCAACACTAGTCACTGCACTGGACACTCATGGTGCACGACCTTGCCATACCGTCACCCAACAGATGTCGTACATAAGCCAAGCCCATAATCATTGCGCCTATGCCCTTGGTCTCCTATTGCCAAAGTTGACACTTGCACCTCGAGTCAACGGCTAGGCCTTCATCCTCCTCAAGACTGCCACCATCACCGTGACATCAACACTGCCATGGACGGTACATCACCACACCACCGCACAAACTTCTGCGTCGTCGTACCACCATGCCATGCATGAGCAGACACACCACCATCGCTTTCGTGCCACCACCACTCTGCAAACATCGTGATACACGATCATCCTTTGCTGCAACATCACCATGCTATCACCTGCATCAACTCCACACCATCACCAAAAACCTCGCCTTGGACCTAGCAACCATGCCACATCCGCCTTATCGCCAGCACTCGCGCGACAACTATGCCACTATACCGTTGCACGAGCAGCTGTCACGCCACTACAGGCCCCGAACTAGCTAGCATCAACCCACATCCGCGAGTTTCTAGCCACCAAACCAACATTGCTGGCCCAGATCCGAAGATCTAGACAACCTATCCACATATCTACGTGTTGCTCACGGCGGATTGCATTCGCACAATGCGACGACTTCGGGAGAAAAAGCACCCCCTCCTCATAGCTCACCGAACTTTTGCCCACCTGCTCCGACAACAGCAGTGGGAGGAGGGGTTGAGGAAGTGGAGACAACGGGATTTGAAGCGGCACCCATGTTGTCCCTTTCGGATGACACGAGGCCTGGCTGTGGTCTTTTACTGACATAGCAATGAGGGGTCTTCATCTAATTTTGGCCTCTCAAATGCATAGTCTTTGTATTGTTTCTTAGGGTAGCAAGTCAATGAATTGTTGTATAAATGTTTTGTCTATGATAATTGACCAATAACTAGTACTACCATCAAATAAAACAACTCTACGTGAGTTCTACTATGCAGTTTGCAAAGGTTCGATTTTGTTTTTGTGCCCAAGCTGTAATCACCCTAAGATGCATCTTTTCTCTCTCTTCACTCATTCACACCAAGTTTGAAAAATCCTCCTTATCATTATTGCATATATGATAATACCTCTGTCTAAAAAAAATGCAATTCTAGTTTGATCTTAACGGAAACCATCTTAAATTTAACATTTTGGGCCAATTGCATTTTTGCCCTTGTTTTCATCTCTAATTGCATGTTTGTCCTCCTGTTTTGGTTTTGCAGAGTTATTGCCCCCACCCCGCTTTTCTGAATTTGAGTGTTCCGTATTGCCCTCGTTCTATCAAGTGAGACTAACGGTGTGTGCTAGAGGCTACAAAGAAATATATATGCCCTTGGACCCTATAACCATAGCATTTTGCATATCTGGACATAAAAAATGGCAAGATATGCACTAGTCCTCCAAACTCATTGATCTGGGTATCAATGTGCCTCGTTTCATTCCCTTAGCTCAGTTCAAATCATTCTAAAAGTTAGTCATCAGTTCTAATATCAAATCTCAATATAAGCATCCTTCGATCCAATGTCTGCCTAAACATCGCATCACATGATTTGCAGCAAGTCAATCCTAAATCTCACATTAAACCATCAAATTAAATCTGTAGTTACAAATGGCAAAGAGCATACACAATATCTTGACGAAGCAATTCAACCATAATCAAAGAAGCCCGTCGTGCCGCTTGTCGGAGCTTGCCGCCCCCCCCCCCGTACATAGACTACCACTGATTGGCTCCCCTACACGCCAGCTTCTCGACCACCGTGCTCCTAGCCCGTGGTGCCACTCACCCACGCTGGCTAATATGGATAAGAGGATGTCGTGGCCTGTGGAGGATAAGGGCAGGGTATTATGTTATTTCGGCTTCTCTTTTCATTTGTCTTTATTCTTTCCTTTTCCATTAAGTTGCTTCTAAGTGATGCTGTTTAGAAGTGGGGCAAACAGAAAATTGGAATTCAAAAAATGAGGGCAAATCAAAAAAGGAGGGGCAAACATGTAGTTAGAGTTGAAAATGAGGATATAAACACAATTTGCCCTAACATTTAAAAAAAAATATCAATATTCATAATACTAAGCAATAGTGTGTTGAGGTTTATCCGAAGCAAATATATTTTTATGGTATACATATTTAGTGTTTTATAATTGTTGACCCTCTTTTCTACAAATATAGTTCCATACATATATAACACAAAATTAGAACTCGACTTGGCTTTACGCTATCCACTTGTGCGTCCGGATCGAGGATTCAGAATCGAGTACATTATTTATTGATTTCTCTCCTGACGCGACACAACTACCAAAACGCGGTGCTCGCCACCGCGTCGCCGCCGCGTGCATGCGGCAGATGCAGATCGACGCGGGCGTTGCTATCCACCACTCTCAATCGGCTCTTTTACGTGCTACATATTCGATGTCCTATTGTTCGTCGCATATAATCCGTAAGCATATAATCTGTGGGATTCGATTCGTAAGCATATAATCCGTGGGATGAGTAAAGACCACTACCATCATAACTACAGTGAAGTTTCAGATTGTTCTAATTCAACGCCCTTAATTAACGCCTGATCTAAAAGTATAATGTATATCCCATCCACACATGTGACCACTGATCACCATAAAATAAAAGTACCGAAGTAATCTATTATTCTAAAATTTTATGCCTAATTCTACTCCCTCTATATACTTTTTAGAAAAGCCCCGCGCGCTGGATGGTGCAAGTCAAGTCAAGTCAAGATCTGACGCAATGCATATGCTACATCTCTATATATATGCAGTTGATTATGCACGCACACACATATCCGATCCATCTCAGAACGCAACAACGAAAGTGAGACGGTTGACGCGCTCCCTCTCTAGGTCAATCGTCCATGGGGGCGTTCGACGACTGCTGCGACGACTGCTGCTACAGCTGGAAGGACTACTGGTGGTGCGTGCTCTGCATCGTCATCCTAGCCGTCATTGCCGTCATCATCATCCTCGTCGTCGCGTTCGGCTTCGTCCGCCACGTCGACGTCTCCGTCGACGACGCCTCCCTCACCCGCCTCGCGCTCGTCAGCACACCAACGATGACGGCGCTCGCGTACAACCTCTCGCTGACGCTCACCATCCGCAACCCGAACTGGGCCATGAGCATGACCAACAGCAAGCCGCTGGAGGCGGCGTACAGCTTCGACGGCCAGCAGTTCGACCGCGTGAGGCTCGCCGACGAGGGTGACAAGCACCCCGCCGGCAAGACCAGGGTGTACAGGCTCACGACGGGCTCCGACGGCGCGCTCGTCTCGCTCGGCAACGCCGGCGTCGCCGAGTTCAAGAAGGAGAACGCCACGGGCGTGTTCGAGGTGGAGGTGGCCGTGAAGGGCGAGGTGAAGTACACGGCGCGCGTCACCAAGTGCGCCATCGAGGCCACCTGCCCGCTCAAGCTGCAGCTCGCGCCGCCGGGGCAGGCGCCGGCGGCGCTCGTGTTCCAGAAGGTCAAGTGCAAGCTCGCCAAAGCGGAGAAGAACTGCTAGGGCGTTGGTGTTCCAGATGGCGTCAATAAATAAATTGCAAGTAGGGAATGCCGTTAGGGTGGTTATCCAAGTGATGTACAGCCTTCAGTCTCTAGCCCACGAATTAATAGCCAAAAGCTAGCTCAGTTTTAAGCTTCCGTTAACTTTTGGCTGAAGAAAATAACGATGTAATAGGCCGTGTAGGACACAGGAGGCCTGAGGGTGACACCTGTTGGAAGCTCAAGGTGACAAAGGTAGCACCGTGGATCATTGTTCGATCGATCGATCTAGTGTTAACGAGAAACCAAGAGCAAACTTGAAGGACCGGAGGTAGAATGTTGCTAATTGGTGCAACTGTGCAAGGCTAAGAGCAAGGAAATTTGAAGCCTTCACGCCTTGGTTGTTGGTTGTTGGTGTTCATTTCAAGGTGTTGCAGGTCCTGTGGTATGATTAATATGTACTACGGAGTATTAATGGTTGGTGGTGTTCGTAATGGTTTTTTTTAAGCCTATAAACCTAGAGAACAGCTGAGTGATTTAAGGGTAATCACCGACTGCTACAGAAATAGTTTTTGCAACACTATTTTCACCGTTGGTTCTTTGAAAACCGTTGGTGATAATTCTTTCACCGCCGGTTTATAATGAAACTGGTGGTAAAAACCATTTTCATCACTAGGGATTGAGCATCGATGGCGAAAACGTGTCCCAGACCTGAATTTTGGACTGTATTTAATAAGTCCACTTACATCTAGACTCCTCTTCTTCATCCTTGGAACAGACGGCCATGGGAGGGGTGACGTCGGTCGTCCGGAATGGCATAGTGTCGGATTATTTAGCTTCGGCAATGCCTAGCAACATGATCGCGTAGATGGATCCAGATGTTAGCAGACGGGACACAAGGATTTATACTGGTTCGGGGCGTGGTGGCGCGCTAAACCCTAATCCAGTGGACGCTGCTACTCTTTTTGTATTCGTATGCTCGGTTACAGGGGCTGTTGCTCCTAGCTACGAGGTAGATTGGAATGAGGCGATGGTGTCGTGGTGGACGTGACGATCACGGAGTCCTTACCCCTCTTTATATAGGCAGAGGGGTAGGGTTACAACGAGGGCGATCGACGCTATAGATTGGATTCCTAGTTTGTTACAACAGATCAATTCTATCCTACCATAGCTACGATGGCGACAGATATCCTCGATACGTCATGATCTCCAAGTCGGTGGTTGCACCTAGTCCTCGTGGGCTTCATCCTCGGTCGTCCTTCGTTGGTGGGCCAAGATACATGGTCGGTGAGGGTATCCCGGGCCCATATATCTGACAGTAGCCCCCGTAGGATTTGATGACGGGCTCGTGGAGCTAAACGATCCTTCAGGTGTCGCAAGTCCTTGCAGCCTTCGGGTACCATAGGTCCCGATAAGCACTTCTCGGGTGCCGAGTCATTTGAATACAATCAGAGGGGCATGTCATCAAATCATGTAAAAGATGAGGACGACTGTGAGCGTCGCACCGGCTGGCAGTAATGCTTTCCCGAGTTTCAAGAATCATTCAGGTGGGAGTCTCCTACCAGTTTGAATGCATCGTCAGCATGTCATCGAATCCTATAAAATAGGAGGATAGTGGTCCCTGGGAACTCGAACTATTTTGTTTCCCATGCTTACTTTTGTGGAGCTCTCTCAATGCTTGAGTCTGCCTTTAATGCCAACCACCAACTCCCCCACTACCATCCTCAGGGCGCGTATTTAAGCGGGGGGTAGGGAGGCCAGTGAGTCTCACCCCTCCTTTCTTCCCCAAATCCCCTAGCCTTAGACTGAGTGCGAGAGTGGCGATTTGCTTAGTGTGCCATGGTTCATGGTGCTTTCCAGCGGTCGCGCCGTCGCTGGGAGAAGGCTTTCAAGATCAGGTTCCACAGCGGCCTGGCAGTGGCTGTTCTTCTTGGGTGTTAGACGAAGTTTCACGAAGATGGGGAGGAACAATACCATTGGTGGCTTGGGTCATCGAGGGCGTGGCGGCCGGGCTCGCCAGTGGTTGGCTCACGGGGGCTTTCCATGTCGAAATATCTGTGGGAAATCCTAGAGGACAAAGGGTGGCTTGCTAATGCCGGGAAACCCTTTGCCCCACAGATCTTGACCTGGGAGCTCTCGTGTTTCGATTCGGAGGCTTGGAGCCACCGAGTGGTTGCCGCTCGCTCCTCCCGATGTCGAAGATGGTGTGGGCTAGGCTCCTCGTGGCGCTCTTCCTCTTAGATGTTAGAGGAAGCTCTGCGAGGTGTCACTCCCCGATGCGTCTTCAAGGCATCGTCCGTGCTCATGAAGGCTCGAAGGCGAGGTGAAGGTCACCGTGCGCCTTCATCCGACTTCTACGCTTCATGAGATGTCCATCGCTTGAGTGCCGAGGTCGATCCTGCGCTCACAAGGCTATCATAACTATAGCAGTTTCAGATAGAATTTGGTTATTGTAAACCTGGTAATGTAAAATGCAGTAGAGTTTAATCAAAAAAGAATGACTTTTATTGATTTTGAGCACTGCTACCTGTGTCCCAATTGAATCGGGTAATTTGGCGATTTTCGTTCAGTCAAACCAGCCTTACATTTTTCTGGGGCCCCTTACCCGATGGGTAGTCAGTATAACTATGGGTTATGCAGGTGATTCAAACTAAAAATTTACTCCGACAAAGTGCGATCATTCGTGGCTCCTGAAGCCAGTGATCCTGAATGCTCAAGGATCACTTGGGCAAATAGCGAACACATAAACCTCTAGGGCTATAGCGCATGCTATTCTTCGAGGTACAACCGGGTAGAACAGGTGAACATCTGCTATCACTGAAAGGAAGCAGCAGGACAATGCCTGACCAGTGGGGGCACGTCATAATACTCTTTTTCCAGATTCCAGAAGATTGTACTTTGGTTACAACCATGGGCTAATCAGTTTTTCGGTTTCCCACAAAGGGGCACACATCTGCTGAAATAAGGTACTTCAAGCCTGTTTGAACATTCGAGAGATTTGCGTAGTACTTGACAGATTTGCATCTCATTCAAGTACCAGAGGTTTTAGCATTGGCCGGCATCCCTCCTGAACATCCCCCTCACTCTAGAGATGGCAGGGTTCGACTTTCATGATTCTGGGCCAAAATCACCGACTGTGCCTGCCACTTTGGTGGGCTACGCCGGGCTTTGGTGGGGCCCAAATGTTGGTCTACTAGATTTCACTAGCAATTTTGGGCCCTAGGCCTAGGGTCCATAAGGGTTTCGACCAGTACTGGCCACCCTTCTAAGTAGCCGAGGGTGGAGATGGTCCATCCCTTTTGCCGCCATCGACAAAAGCAGTAGTGCTGACTCCTCTGCTTACCTTGATCTAGCGAACATCGTCACATCTAGATCTAGCTCCCAATAGTCGCAGTGATGGCGTCGAGAAAGACCTTGGCCAAGAAAACCAAAACCATTAGTTTAGTAGGTGAAGAAGATATGAGCTCAAAGAGCAACGGTGGACGGAGTCCCATCCCCAGTTCTCCATGGGAGGTGTCGACAATGAGGGAGGAGGACATCGAGAATCTTGTGGTTGGGGGATTTCTAGTGCTGAAGGAACTTTCGGGTTACCGGTGTGCCCTTGGCCAAGACGTCCCTGCCCCAGATTCCGGTGAGGTCGTAGTCTTCGTCGACTTCTTTCGTCGTAGATTCAAGGTGCCCATCCATTGGTTCGTTTGAGATCTCCTCTGATACCATGACGCGTAGGTACATCACCTGACCCTGAATGGGATCATGCTTCAGGCGATGTTCATTTCCTATTGCAAGGACTTCACGGGGATCGAACCCCACTAGGCGTTGTTCTGCCGCTGCTTCAACGTTCTTCCTTAGTCGTACCAAAAGGTCATCGTAGCCTTTTGATCAAGGCGGCCGACAAATCTCTGTTTTTTCACATCGATCTCCCTTCCAACATCCTGAATTAGGCAAAGAAGTGGTTTTATGTTTATGACTGCTTTGCTCCAGCCTTTTCCCACAAGCTCCCCCTCCTCTGCCGTCGGTAGAGAAGGAAGAAGTGCCCTAGTCCGAACAGGAAGAGGTGGACGAACTCGAGAGTGACCTACAGAATTATCATCGGAGGAGAGGGGTTACCGGTCAAGCTTGCTTGGCAGCCTTTTTTGGAGGTGGATCCAGCCCCTGAGGGAACGTGCGTCCCTGATGTGCGACTCTCTCGATGCTATGAGCCCCTTAGGGGAGCCCATCGAGCCGATGACTGTGCTTCAGGTGCTTGTTGTGACCAACAAGGTGCTGGGTCCGAAATCCTAGCTCACAGGCAAAGACCGTCTGGTGGAGCCCCTGAGTTCAAAGCCGAGAGGTGACAAGAACTTGGTAAGGTGTCAGTTGTTGATGATTAGTTGACAACCCATCCCATTTCTCATGTAATTTGTTCTGTTTTGCAGGGTCATCAGAAGTACTGCTCTAGGCCCCCTTTGGATAAGGTCCATGAGAGGGGGATCGATGGTACCGAGGCATCCACCAGTAATAGTGAGATGTCTACACTTCGAGAGGAGCTGAGTGATGTTGTCCCCATGCCTTGCCCGAGCCATACTAGTCATGGTGCGTTGAGTTTGGGTGTGTAGACAAGGAGATGTAGAGCTGCAGCGGAGTCTGCAAGCACCAATAAGGGGGAAGGAGCCCCTGAGAGGAAGAAGAAGAGGCAGCGCTGAGCGTAGGCATTAGTGGTGTGAGGTACGTCGATCTACTATGGCTAGTTTTACCTTGGTGTATGTTTGATTTGGCTTACCACAAGTTGTTCATAGTCTCGAGGGATCTAGGGTCACCCAGGCCTACCGATGACAAGCTGTCAGCTGGGACAGTCTTGGTTGTTGGCGACTTTGGCCCAAAGGTGGAGTACGTCCTCTTCGAGCAAGGTTATGGGACTTCACACAGATGATTGAAAAAGCCTGCATTGTTGGATGTTCCCATTGATGAGAACATGTAAGTTTAATTCCTTCGTCTCATTGCTTTGCCGAGCGATGAGCTCCTGATGTCTGTTCTTGGGCGTAG